GTGTAAGTGTTTTTATTTATGCCATTAATGTTTTTGTTAATACAGCGTATAGCACTAGTCAACTAAATGAATGTAAAAAAAGAAATCCCACTCAAAAAGTGAAAAAGAAATCAAAAAGATGAATGCACTTTTGGAAGTTGAATGGAAGGGAAATGTCATTTTGGAATTTCTGTGGTCTAATGTGATATTTTTGTTCATGTATGTTCGTCATGAAATTTTCTTTGATTGTTGTAATTAATTTATAGCATTAACAAGATGACCCGTTGAATTCTTTTTGGGCGATGACTGATTGAATGTATTTTTAGTCCAGTGCCTGTATGTTAGATTAGTATTGACCAAGTTGAATATGAAAAATAACTTATGTTGATTCAATGGATTTATTGCATTTTGAAAAAATAAATAAATTGCATTTTGGGGAAAAAAATAATACAATTTTATAATAAATCTTTTACATCAAGTTGAACTAAATGGAAATGAGAAATGCTGCCTTGGCAACTAGCTGAAATAAAATAGGATTGAGTTTTTTATAGTTTATTTTTTCAGTTAACATTTATAAGTAACAAAAATGTTTATTTTATTGTTTTTTTTAGTTTTAGTTAACTGCAAAAATAATTTGCATTGCGCTCAATAAAAATACAATGTTTTATACAGTATATGTCTACATATTTTTTATTAATTTGTATTTATTTAGCTGAAATAAATGAGCTTAATTTTTTATAGTTTCAATTTAAGGAAAATGATAAATGTTGCCATGGCAACTTGCTAAAATACAATGCTTTTAAGGTTTTTTTAATAGTTAATTTTATTTCAGTTAACATTTATTTTTTTAAAACAACAATTTTTATTATTTTAGTTAATAACAATGTTGACCGCAAACATATCTGATTGATTTCGATTGTGCTCAGAAAATTTATTTTTATATGTCTATAGTTTTTATTATTTTGTATTTATTTTATTTATCTGAAATAAAATAACTTTAATTTTTTACTTTAAGTTTATTTCATTTCAGTTCAAGTTTATAAGTACCGTATTTCAAGTTAAACTAAACGAAAATGATAAATGTTACCATTGGAAATAAGCTATTTACAGTTTATTTCATGTTTTAGTTATGTTCAGTTTTGTTTTTTTTTAAATAAAAATTTTTTTGTACTCATGTACTGTTTTACTTAACACTAATAATGCTAGCTGCAAAAATGATTTGGACTGCGCTCAACAAATATTTACAAATCACATGTTGAAATTTACCTGCAAAAATTTCACATACTGTCATGTCAAATGCTTATATGGGGACAACCGTCTCATAACATGCATGATGATCTGATGCATGCTTTACTGCAGCTCAGGGCAGAAACACTGCAGCAGTGCATTCAGACGGCGTTACTCTCTCTCCAGTTACTGAGCTGAAGGCAATTAAGCCTCTGAGAGTTTCAGCCCCAAACCGCTGGAAAGCTAAACCAATGTGCTTTTCTCAGCGGAAGCTGTGCGTTGACTGACACGACGGATTGATTAACGTGAAGGACTGGGCTCGTGTAGAGGGAAATTACTCGGAGCTAGCGTGTTGCTTAGTGTTAGCAGATGGCGATGGATGGCTAAAGGTTGCTCTTACCGCCTAAGAATAGCTGGCTGTCAGGCGCGACAGGGAAGGAAGTGGACGCTGTAGAGCTGTCGGTTTTGTCCAGGGTGACTGCGAGACGCCCTCGACGGACAGCCAGCTCCAGCGAGTGCCACTGACCGTCATTTAAACTGGCACCTGTGGAGAGAGAGAGCAAGTATGTGGATCAGGCAAAATAACAGGCATTAGGGAGATCATTTTTACATAAACCACAAGAACAGATTTCTGCCTTAAACTTAATCAATAAAACTATTTTTAGCCAGAAACTTCCTTTGTGATGTAAATTTTCATACATATTGCATTGCTCAGAGCAGCAGGTGCCACTGATGTTGACTTTGCTCTACCCTTCACACACAAGAGAGATGATTCTGCTTTTACTGTCAAATAAACTGAAACTATGGTATATATATCCCACAATGCATGAGCTGAACCTGCGGTGATGTCCGTCACGATCCGGCCGGTCTTATGGATCTGCAGTCGCGCTCTGGCCTCGCTCAGATAGAGCCACAGCGTTCCCGCATTATGCTGCAGGTCAAAGGTCATCAGCAGCCCCGCTCTGTTCCAGGTCCTGAACTGCAGAGCAACCGACGCGCTTTCTCCACCGGAGACCCATGGCAAAGCGAGGTAACTTCCAGGACTGGCGAAGGTCACCGGCACGTCTATGGCTTCGGCGCATGTGACGCTGACGTTCCCCTGCGAGAGACACAAATACTGCAGTAAGACCAAGAGCGTTTCTCACGCAAGCTGCATTTGTGATCGTGAAGAACGTTTGCTTTATAAATTATGCATTTGCACTCCTGCCTATTATCTTGAAACCAATGTCACAGCCATTACGACAATTAATTAAAGGGATGGTAATTGGTTTAACCCCCAAAATCCCAAGACAATGGTTGTAAAAAAAAGGAGAAACCCTGTATAATGGAGGAGAACATGGTAAGGGTCACGGAAACACAAAGCTCTCATTATGGAAAAATGAGGCAGCCAACAATTGACAGTCGCTAACAGGCCAAATAAAGCAGCTGCAGACGTGACTGTGTTCACACACTTACTGTGATGAAGACCTGCTGCTCTTCGGCTCGCTCGATCACGCTGATGTCGTTGTAAAGCACGTTTTCCAAGCAGCCGTGGAAGTTTCTTTTGGAGTGGGATTTCTGGAGTCCAGCCGCTGACGTTCCACCGAAACTGATCTTGTGAAAGAACGACAGATTCATGTCAGAAATCACACATATTAACGGAGTCATATGAAATTAATAAGCTAAACTCCATTGACAGACTGTCGATTAGCACGGAAAATCATTTTTTAACTCATTCACGAGTTTGTAAAAATATGCAAAAACTACCTTTACACTAACGACATGCAGTGAGGCGATAAAATACTGTCAATTGTAATATGTGACCCTGGAGCACAAAAGCAGTCTTAAGTCGCTGGGGTATGTTTGTAGAAATAGCCAAAAATACATTGTATGGGTCAAAATGATTGATTTTTCTTTTATGCCAAAAATCATTAGGATATTAAATAAAGATCATGTTCCATGAAGATATTTTGTAAATTTCCTACCGTAAATATATCAAAACTTAATTTTTGATTAGTAATATGCATTGCTAAGAACGTAATTTGGACAACTTTAAAGATGATTTTCTCAATATTTAGATTTTTTTGCACCCTCAGATTCCAGATTTTAAAATAGTTGTATCTCAGCCAAATATTGTCCTATCATAACAAACCATACATCAATGGAAAGCTCATTTATTCAGCTTTGAGATGATGTATGACTGGTTTTGTGGTCCAGGGTCACATATTATAAAAATTACAATACAGTGAAAAAATACATATAAATATGATTATTATTATTCATTACCACTTTTATGA